ACTTTGTTAGACCAAGGAGCTGCTAATCAAAAGGAGGTCTTGGAAATAAATTTTTACCTTTACACCTTTGTGCCTGTGAAGAGTCAATGTATTGACTATGCAACTCATGATGGGATCAGGATCTTGTTCTCCTCATACTCCCTCCGCAGCATCCCTTCAGCCTTACTGAGACCAGTCCATTGACTCTCATTGACTCACTGCCATCATGACCACTTAAAAGTACTCATTTCCGAACTATTCATGGTCATGTGTTATCATCAGTTCCTTCCCTCTCCCTTCCTCCTTGGCGAAACCCCAACTCTGGGTAAACCAAACTACTTATCTGTTTCCTTCCTGAACTTGAGCAGCTAAGTATTGGTAAGAAAAATACACACCTATGTTAATTGGTTTTTCTTTGCATTCAAAACCACAGACCTCAAATAGGAACTCAACAATGTGAGCAGTCTTGCTGTACAGCCCCAATAAACTCAACTTTGTCACTATTCAAAATACCTGCTTTCGGGCTGGGAAGGTGGCTCAGTGGTAGAACCCTTGCCTTCCCTTGCATGCATGAGGCCCTGGGTTCGATTCCTCAGCACCACATAAGCAAAAAAAAGCCGTAAGTGGCGCTGTAGCTCAAGTGGTAGAGCGCTAGCCTTGAGCTAAAGAGCTGAGGGACAGTGCTCAGGCCCAGAGTTCAGGCCCCACGACTGGACCGCCCCTTCCCCCCCCCAAAAAAAATACCTGCTTTCTTCTCATTTTCTCAAATCTGTGTTCCACTTTGACTTTGCACTTTTAGCTGATTCTCTCACTTCATGTTTGATGACACAAATAAGCAACTGGGATCATTGGAAGACAAATTTTCTCATCTTTTTCTCCAGTAGTTCTTCTAACTCCTTTGTATTTGTTTACACACGCATGCACACACATATACACACACCTATTTCAAAAGAGCACAGATCTTTACCCTTATATAAGCCAAATTTTACACTCTGGATCCCTTTCTCTAACGTTTTAAGAATTTTGCTACCTCTGGCCATAATGTCTCTACTTCCATCACTGATATTCTTTCTGAGTTTTTTTCATTGCCTTCCTTCAAAAATAGAAGGAGTTTTCAGTATTCTGTCTTTACTTCGTCTTTCATTGTCTTAATGTCCTGTTGGGTTTCCATCTCCGTAGTAAATTAAATCATTGTTACGACAGTAGATACTAATCAAAGGTGATAACTTTTCCTTCTCTAGCCTAGCTTTTTAAATTTGGGAGTGTAAAGTAAATCTGTTTGGAGAGGCTGCAGAATACATGTGGCTGTGTTTTGTAACAACACGCAATGAAAATTCATACTCACCTGCCACTGAACACTGATGAGAATTCATTCCTGGTAGAAGCACTTTGGAAAATTAGTTTAAGACATTGTAGTTCATTGCCTTTGAGGTTTTTTGTTGTTTTAAAATTAATTTTGTTTTAAAATTAATTTTGTCAAACTGTGTGTATATGTGTGCGCGTGCATATGCACAGGCTAGTCTTAGGGCTTGAACTCAGTGTCTGAATGCTGTCCCTGAGATTCTTTGTTTGAGGCTAGTGCTGTATCACTTGAGCCAAAGCTCCACTTCCAGCTTTTTTTGGTAATTAGTTGGAGATAAAAATACAAACTCATAAGTAAATATGTTGGGTGATATGCAAGTGTATACAAAGGGATAAATGGAAATAGGGTAGATTTGAGGGAGACTTCAAATAGTGTAATTCCTTAGAAAGCAAAATAAAAAGTTTGGCAAAATAAAACACTCGAAATTACTGGGAAGGGATGGGATGGGGTTAAGACGGAAGGAGTAGGCCTAGTAGTGCCAGTAGCTACTCAGGAGGCTGAGACGTGAAGATCATGGTTCAGAGCCAGCCAGGGCAGGAAAGTCCGTGATTCTCCTATCTCCAATTAACCACCAGAAAACTGGAAGTGGTGCTGTGGCTTAAGTGGTAAAATGCTAGCCTTGAGCTGAAGAGCTGAGGGACGGTGCCTGGGCCCAGAGTTCAAGCCCCACAACCAAGCCAAAAGAAAAAAGAGGGAGGGGGTAGACAGATGAAGAAGGGGGAAAATGCAGACAATCATCCTACAAAATTCAGAAGGCTGAAGGAAGGGGGGCTAGGGGAGGGATGGGTGTTGTTGAATAGGGTGACATTGATCAAGATCCGCTTTGTTAAGTGGCAACTCCTTTTACAACTACTTAAAAATAATAATAATAAAATACATATATATCCCCAAAATCATGGGCTTTACTGCCAAGACTGGCTTCAAATCACAATCCTCAGACCTCAGCCTCCCAAATAGCTAGGATTACAAAACTCAGAGCTAGCACCCAGCTTGTCAAACTCTTTTACCAGAATAAATTGGAGCTAGGTTTTCTCAAGAGAAAATTTAAATTCCTCTCTAATTACCTTCTCTGTTTAGTTTTCTTAGATCAATGTTCATAATCAAGGGAGCACCAGAATGTTTAGAAAGCCAATCTGAGACTTGAGGGCTCCTTACAGTGAGACTTCAGTGGTTACCTACCTGTCACGAGCAGCCATGCACCCGTGACTTATGGAGGGTAGGACTTTGAAATTAATGAATATTCATTGTCCTTTTCTAAGCCAGGTATAGAACAGTGCACATATTTTTCTCTCAGGAAAGTGGTTTTTGGTGGGACTGTCTGCTACTTCATTCCCCCTGTATTTACTATGCTTTCCATTTGTCTTCCAAGGTGGTCCTTAGCACAGAAGGGCCCTATTTAGTATTGTCATTAAAACGTATTGATGTTGTCCAGTGAAAATCTCAGTATTCCTGTATTGGTTTGTTTTATTGCTTAATTTATGCCACTTGAAAAATATTAAGATTAGAATAATGCCTTAATATTTTTCAAATAATATAAATTTAGCAATAAATACTTCCCTTGTGGAGAGAGCCATAACAGAATGTATCATAGTATCTTAATAGTTAACACATTCTACAAACTTCTATTGAGAATCTACTAAATATTACTAAGTTAATTTGTAGGTACTAGAGTCTTAGGAATGAGTAAGTCTTTAAAAGTCTGAATCTGGGGCTTGACCTTAGCACGGCTCACTTAAGTCAAGGCCAGTGCTCCATTTGGCCACACCTGAGTTCCCCAGGTTGCATTCTGAACTCATTGGTGGTTAAGAATGCTCCACACCCACCACATATCCAGGCTACTTCGGTGTCAAGAGAAAATTAAGTACTATAATTGGTGGCAGTTAGCATTTACTCTATGCATTTGCCTTATATGTATTATGATGTGCTCATTTGAGGGAATATGATTGGCTCAAGTTTGACTTCCGCATTTGGCTAAAACTCTGTATGTTACAAGAATATCCTCTGTTCTGTTTTCTTCCTATTGAAACACTACAACCAAAACATTCAACCCAGCACAATAAAGTGTTTTTTACTGTGATTACTTCACAGAGTAGTTGTATTGTATATGAGAAAGAGAGAGAATGAAAGAGAGAATATGTGTATCTGAAAGCAGTTTGTAAAATAGGATGTAAATGTAAGGTATTGTTATTTGTTCTTGTGTAAAATGGGATCCAGGAATATACTGTAAATGTAGGAATGTAACAGTGATAATCCCCCTTTTATAGCTAATATAAACATATATAAATAACAATTAACAAATGGAGTCTAGGATTGTTGTATCTGATTTATGTCTATATCTTTCACCGTTAATATTTACGTTTTAAAACATTTGAGATTTGAATTCATGCCTTTTGGACTGTTTTAATTTGTATGGCTTTGAGGAATTTGTATTAAGAGGTTGTTAGTCCATTTTGTGTTGCTCTAACAAAATACTTGACCCTAGATAATTCTGGTGACTGAAAAGTCCAAGCAGCATGGTGTCACAAGGTCCCATCATGGCCTGTGTCACAGTATAGCATCATATGCTGGGGTGTGTACAAGAGTGTGGTTGGGGGTTTGGTGAGACCGGAAGCAAGAGAGCATCAAGAGGACTGGGAAGGTGGCTCAGTGGTAGAGTGCTTGCCTTGCATGCATGAGGCCCTGGGTTCAATTTCTCAGTACCACATAAGCAGAAACAGCCAGAAGTGGCACTGTGGCTCAAGTGGTAGAGCACTTGCCTTGAGCTGAAGAGTTGAGGGACAGCACCCAGGCCCAGAGTTCAGGCCCCATGACTGTCAAAAAAAAAAAAGCATCAAGAGGCCAGAGGCCAGGCTGACTTTTTTTTTTTTTGTCAGTCATGGGGCTTGTACCCTGGTTCTGAGCTCTGTCCCTCAACTCTTCAGCTCAAGGTTAGAGCTTTACCACTTGACCACAGCACCACTTCCGGTTTTCTGGTGGCTTATTAAAGATAAGAGTCTCACAGACTTTCCTGCCGGGGCTGGGTTTGAACCACAATCCTCAGATCTCAGCCTCCATAGTAACTAGGATTACAGGCGTGAGCCACCTGCACCCTGCACCAGCTCACTCTTTTATAACAACCAACTCTCGTGGGAACTAATCATTCCTTCAAGACTTGACTCACTCTTGATTTTTTTGGCCAGGACATATGACACTGAACGCCTGGCAGATGTCAGCACTTATTAGCTGCTTGCTCTTATTTTGTGATACAGTGGAATAAATTGAGGAAAGATTTAAGTGTCCAGATGGATGACTGAGAAAATGTTGTTTAAAAATTTTCCCAGTTTTCTGCCATTCTATAATTCTCATATAAAGCAGGATAATGCCTCAGCTTTCATGGAAACATACAGCAGATTTTTACCTGATCATGAATGTTTACAGAATAAAGTATTTCATAAAATTTCAGAGTTTTAGTCTTCAAGACAAGCTATATTAGTTCTCATCTCTGTTAAGTATATATAAGTGACAATGTGGTCAACAAAAGTAACATTTTTACATCCTGTGTGTTCCCTCTTAAGCATCTACTCTGCTGTACTTCAGAGGAGCAAGTCACTCTAAACTAAACCCTTTTGGGAATCTATGACTATTGTCCTGTACTAAGAGTAAGTTTCTGTTTTCAAAGGTACGCCAGCCTGTCATATGCATCAACCACCATGTGTTTTGTTCTATTTGTATCGATTTGTGGTTGAAGAATAATGGCCAGTGTCCAGCTTGCAGAGTCCCCATCACTCCTGAAAATCCTTGCAAAGAGATCATTGGTAAGAGTCTATTTTATATAAGCACAATAGATTTGATGCCATCTACAAGTAGTGATTGTATGGGGGAAGACCAGTGTAGATAGTTTGCAGTGATGTTATTTGATCAACATAATATTGAATGAATTGGTAATTTGTGTGATGTATATATGGGGCAACTGAAGGGCAAAAGTAATCTAAGAAATCACAAGAGAAATAATCCTTAAAGGCTGTGGAACTGACATTCCAGTAGAAACTGCATGTGAGCAGAAGTAAAGTATCAGTTGCTACAGTGAAAAGAAGGGCTGAGAAGGCTCAGGAGTTTAGGCAAAAAATATTTGTTTGTTTTTGTTGTGCTAGTACTAGGGGTTGGCCTGGCACAGTAGCTTTTTCTGTCAAAGTAGGAGCTCTACAACCTGAGCCATACCTCTACTTTGGGCTTTTTGTTGGTTAGTTGGTGATATGAGTCTCATGCACTTTTTTACCTGGGCTTACTGTGAACGAGGATCCTCAGAACTAAGCCTCCTGAGTAGCTAGAACTACAGGCGAGTGCACGTCTGTAGATGAGATTTTTGTAATGGAAATGGGAAAGCAAACACATGCTAGGAAGGAAAAGAGCATTGCAAAAGGCTTCATGAAATAGATGGCCTTTCCACTGGCCATTCAACTCCTAAAATTAAAGAGGGCAATTTATGCAGTGAAATGAATCATGAATAAGAGTTAGGATATTAGAAAACAGCATGGTTTTGGACATTACCGGCACTATAATTTGGATCTGATTACTAAAATAAAGGCTGAAAAGGTAAATTGAAATTTTAGAGAACCTTGAATGACAGCTAAATCAAGGATTTGCTGTACGGATAGAAAGAAGGATGAGGAGGGCATGATGGTTGTGAGCAAGGGAGTGGTATCTGAGGTATGCTTTAGAACTGTTGCTCAGGGAGGGATACATAGATTGGGCTGGGAGAGAGATAGAATGAATATACGTAGGTAAGAGAATGTAGAACTGGATTAAGGATTAAAAAAAAAAATTTATCCAGGTGCTGGTGGCTCATACCAGCTACTAAGGAAGCTGAGATTTGAGCATTGAGGGAAAGTCTGTGAGACTCTTATCTCCAGTTAACCAGTAAAAAATCAGAAATAGATCTGTGGCTCAAGTGGTAGAGTGCTAACCTTGAGGGAAAAAGCCAACAGCACTCAGGCCCTGAGTTCAAGCTCCAGTATTCACACATACACGCACAAAACTAATGCCAAACTAATGCAGATAAGAAAGAGTTAAAATTTGAACTAGAAGGTCTTGGAAAAAGAAAACATTTAAAGATACTTTTTAGTGTTTTATTCTACTCATGTACATTATTTCTTTTAGATTACAGAAATTAAAGCAATGTTTGTTTTTGCTTTAGGACACATTCAAATGTTAACAAGCCATTAATTCAATAAACATTGAATGTGGGATAAGCCATGCATAGAAAACACCTCCTAGAAAACTTAACAAGACATTGTAATAGCCTAAAATTAGGAAAAATTGACTTAAATGAGATTTTTGTAACGGAAATGGAAAGGAAAATACAAACTAGGGAGCAAAAGAAGTAGTGAGGCTTTGAAAATAAAAGATCCAAAGTTGTCAAAGTTGGCTCCAAGATTTCTCTCTGGGGTTCAGGGAAAAGTCTAGTAGAGGACTAACATTCTGCTGGGATCATTACAGAGAAACCTCTCTGTCTCTACACTTTTACCATCTGACCTTCACCAAAGCGTGAGGTCTATATAGAATAAGAGCTTTGATAATTAAAATGATTGGAATGTTTTTTCCCCTTAAGCTTTTTATTACATGCTTTCATTTGCTCATATCTAAGTGATATTTCATAAACTCTTGTCAGTTAAACTAGTTTCATCCATCCTTGCATTTGGGTAAAATATACTGAAAAAGATCTATAAAATGCTTTTACTATCGTGGCAGTAAGAAATCCAAAGAAGGTAACCACAGCATAAGTGATCAGTTCTCAGAAAAACTTTAGATTGAATGAATATAAAATTGAAGCCATATTTAGGTAATTTGGAATGTGAAAACAATGTGAAATGCACATTGTTTTTAAGGTGTATTACCAGAAGCAAATCATGTTTGAATATAATACATATTCATGTATGTATGAGATACATATAGTTTTTGTATAGTCTGTTAGCTAAATACAATATAGTTATTGGTTTTATTATTGGACATCATTTAGTTTTCAGATTTGCCAGTCCAAATGGAATAATTATATATAGCCTTTTTCTACATTGAATTCATTCTAACAAAATGTATAGAGTCTTAACAAAATGTATAGAGAAGTAAACACAGTATATTTTACTGAAACTATTTCTTATGTATTTCTCATGTCTACATAAGGCAATAAAGAAAGTTCATATTTATTCTCCTGCAAAAATCAGAATAAAAATTAGGAATTTTCCCCCCTATAGGAGGAACAAGTGAAAGTGAACCTATGCTAAGCCATACAGTCAGGAAGCATCTTCGGAAAACTAGGCTCGAGTTACTCCATAAAGAATATGAGGTAAACAAGAATTAAAGTTTAAAATGATGTCAGCAATGAATTTCAGGTAAAACTGAATTAGCTCAGTCCCTAGACATCCAGTGAAACCTTGTTTTAAATGCCAGTTTAAAAAATACCTTATAAATGCAAGTTCTTGTTTTTTTCCTCTTTCTTTACTTTTAATAGCAAATACATGGAGAATAAAACTCCCAGAGAAAAGGGAAAAGTAGAAGCATTTCTTTTGTTTCTTTTCTTTTTCAGTAATTTAAAATATCTCCCTCTGCTACAGAGGTGATGATTTGTATTTACTCCCTCTTGTGCAAGTCCATCTGAATCCGTAGTTACCATTTGTTCCTGTCTATAATTTCACTGATGATTACAAGCCTCACTGATTCTGTTACAGTAAACATTGCTTATGTCAGCTATCCGCACAGATTTCACTGTGAAAAATGCTGTTTCCAAGTTATCTAAAGGTAAATGAGCATGCCGATTTGACATGAGGGTGGAATTTTCCCAAATAAATTCATGCTAATGGAATATATATAAATATAAATACATATATTATATATATTAAACATTAAGCCCAGCTGTTATTCTGAGACTAAAGGAAGGATATTATCGATCTCCTGTTTTGATACAGAATATCTTTATGTTAAAACTATGTACTTGTGAGCTACCTCAGAATTTTTTCGAAAGGCATTGAAGCATAAATATTTGATTGAATAAATGTTTGTTTATCTATGTGTTCTTCATATATATGAATACGTAACTGCATGTGCTTTGTATTGTATAACTAAAAACAATTTTATACTGCTATTTAATGCTGTGAATTATTTAAAGTAGTATATACTATGACAGTAACTCTACGACTTATATAATACTTGACGTATATACTAGTCAGATTAACCCTTTAAGAAATCACTAATTATCGCCATCTGCTTTCTGTTGCTGTAACAGAACACTCTAGATTGGGCAATTTATAGTGAACAGAAACTGATTTGGCTCATGGTTCTGGAGACAGGAAAATCCAGGAACATTGTGCCAGCATCTGGTGAGAGTTTTGTGCTGCATCATCCTATGGTGGAAAACAACTGGGCAAGAAAGAGCTAGAGCAACTGAGCCCACAAGGGAAGAATTAACCCCATCAGGAGATCTCTCTGATAACTAGCTCATTTCTAAGATAACATCATTAACTTAAATCTTGAAGGCAGCGGCTTATAGCCTAAACATCTCTTAATGGTCTCATTTTTTAATGTCAGAATGACAATTAAATTCCAACTTGAATTTAGGAGGGACATTTAGACTGTAGCACTAGCATTTGGAGTTTATTTTTTCTTGCTGTCCAGTAGTATTGGGGCTTAAATCAGTAGGCAGGTGTTCTGCCACTGGAGTCACTCCTCTAACCCTTTTGGCATTGGTTTGTTTTTTGTTTGTTTTTCTGCAAGTTCTAGGGCATGAACTCGGGGTCTGAGCACTGTCCTTTGAGCTTCTTTGCTCAAAGCTAGCACTCTACCACTTAAACCACAGCTCCACTTCTGGCTTTTTGACAGTTAATTGGAGATGAGTCTCAACAATAGACTTTCCTGCCCAGGCTAGTTTTGAGCCACGATCCTCAGATCTCAGCCTCCTGAGTAGCTAGGATTACAGGTGTGAGCCACTGGCACCCAGCTTCAAGCTTATTTTCTAAACTTTTTTGAGGTTATTTTTGAGCAACCTCAGTTTAAGGTAACATATCTTTTATAAATAAATGAACATAGAAGGGTTTTAACTCCCATGTTCAGCTATTGCACTCAGGGCCTACGAATTGCCCCTGAGCTCTTTTGCTCAAAGCTTGTGCTCTACCACTTGGAGCCATAGCTCCACTTCTAGTTTTCTGGTGGTTAATTGGAGATGAGTCTCATAGACTTTCCTGTCCTGACTGGCTTTGAGCCTCCATCCTCAGATCTCAGCCTCCTAAGTAGCAAGGATTACAGGTATGAGCTACCAGTGCCTGGCACATTTTTATTTTTAAAACCACAATTATAATTGAATTCATTTACCAGCACCATAAATGTTGGTTATTATTAGAGTTGGGATATATTTTGAAATTTTGAACAGTATTCCCTTTGTCCTTATAAAACTGTTATGAAATGTAAAGAATATATATATACATATATATATATGTATATATATATATACAGAAAATTGAATATAAAATTCAAAAGCATTCTAGCTTTGGTTTAGTGTGTTAATGTGTTTAATGTCCATGTCTCTCTAGTGACTGTGATAATTTTTCCAGTATGAAATAGATTGTTTGCAGAAAGAGGTAGAAGAACTTAAAAGTAAAAATCTCAGCTTGGAGTCACAGATCAAGTCTATTCTGGATCCTTTGACCTTGATGCAAGGCAATCAAAATGAAGATAAACAGCCAGTTGCAGATACTCCACATAAAACTGGCCAAGATACTACAGAAGAATGGAAGAAGAAACTCAGAACAGCTAAAGAAATCTATGAAAAAGTAAAAGATGATGTGGATAAATTAAAAGAGGTAAGCTGTGATGATTTTTGTTGTTGTTATTTTTGTCGGTCATTGGGTTAGTTGTGAATTTTTTTTAAATCTGTTGTTTTTTTTAATTCCATAATATTTTAAGCACCTTCGAAAGTATGAATAGCCCCATTATCTTGACTCATCCTTAAAATATGTGTGTGAGAACAGCAGAAATCCCTGGATGATCATTTGTATGCAATAGGAAAACTTTCTCATCAAATATCACTAGCTGCCAGGAACTATCAGGTAGTTCCATTTTGTGACTATAATTGGAGACTGTATAGTGCTTCTATATGAGACTGCATCTTCTGGAAGAGTAACATCAATTTAAAGGACCTGTTTCTGTTTCCCTTTTGTGGTTTGCCCTAAGCCCTTTTAAAGCTTATACAGTGATGGCCTTCTGTACATAAAGCAACACATACCCATTTCCTTACCTATTAAGAAAAGGTTTTGACCCTACCTTTTCTATCACTATTATTATCTGATGTTTAAGATTCTACACAGTTAAAAGTTAAATGACTTTTGAGAACCTTCTTTAGACTGTTTCATTCAAAAGATGAGACCAACCTTTAGCTTGACTTCTGATTTATCTGCCCTGGAGTAAAGTTGTGTTGGATGAGATGGTTTGTAATACTCAGCCTTATTACAACACATTCAGCCTATCTGCGTTCTCTTAAAAGACTAATTTTGTGTTTAATTACTAAATCATTAGTAGTCTCTGTATTTGGCTCTCAGACCTTCACTAAATAAAGGACCAAGATGAGAGGAGGGAGAAAATTCTTTCGGGGGGGAAAAAAAAAAAGGAACCACACACACAATTGTATTGTTTGTTACAAGTTTCTAATGTATTGCTGGCCAACCTTAAACCTTAATATGTGGTTTGTCAGAAGACAAGAGAACAATAAGAAGGTCAACTGAGAATTTATAGTATTTATCAATCTTGTATTTTCTCCTTCAATTTTCATACCTCTTAGCCATCAGTAAGTTCTATATAGTCTCCTTCATAGTAATACAATTGCGGGGCGGGGGGTGGGGGGAGTTTTAGGCAAGAGGCTCTATTTGAAAAGTAACCAGGGCTCATAGATGTAGTATAGGGAATCTATGTAAAAGAATAGTACATAAAGCAGAGCTTTAAATTCAATACTGAAGAACTATTTGTAATATTTATTAAATCCATTTTGAATGCCTAGTGATGGTATTGGGTAATAGACTATAAACCAGAGCATAAATGAATAAGAAAATATGGACCACAGAGAAAAAAAAATCTCAAATGTGGAGTGCAAAATAATGGCATACTATAAATCAAATACAGGAACATGAAAGGAAGAATAAAGTACTACTTGAGAGCAAAATGTTTTCCTGGACAAGGTGAGTTTTTAACTATCGTGAGGCTGGTACCTTAACCCAATCAGAGTTGCGATTGCAGAATACCTGAAGTCTTTATTACTGTTTTAGGTACAATAAATAGGCAGAACTCTGCATCTTTGTACCCCTTACTCACCTAACTCTCATGAACTTGAAAATACCTCTGATAGTTGAAGAACTACCCAGCACATAATGAGAAGTATTGAAAGCCACAGGATTGGTGAGAGACCTTGAAACATAGTGATAGCAGTACGTACCAGGATTAGAGGGTTGAAAATCAAATGAGTTTCTAATTTAAGTTTGTTGCCATCATCAAAAATGGTTCACTAAGTGCCTCCCTTTATGGTACCATGCTTGAAAGCTTAATTCATTGTCTGTAAGTGTGAGGAAGTAAATGGCTTTCTTTGTGTCTTCAGAGGAACAGTAATGATGTTTATCAGTCACTTAAAGAATTAACCCTCCATAGTTCTGGTTGGTATACCTTCATGGAGAGGTGGATAAGCCTAAGGATGGTGTACCACCACGTAGAGGTGGTTAAGCCTAAGGGTGATAGACTTCATGCACAAAAGAATGTCACTCTTGTGACCATTATGATGTATTTGCATGTAGATGGGTAAGTAATACAATCAGAAGGTCTGGAAGTTAAGAAGCATTGTTCACATTTCTAAAATTACATTTTTAAGATTTCTTGGTTTAAGGCTCCCCCCCCTTTTTTTTTTTGGTAGGCTCTGGGCCTAGAAGCTATCCTTGAGCCTCTTTGTGCTCAAGGCTAGTGCTCTACCATTTGAGCCATAGCACCACTTCTGTTTTTTGAGTGGTTTATTGGAGGTAGGAGTCTCCTGGGACTTCTCTGCTGGGCTGGCTTTGAATTGTGATCCTCAGATCTCAGCCTCCTGAGTAGCTAGGATTACAAGAGTGAGCCACCTGGTGCCCAGCTTAAACCTTTTTTTCAGTTATTCTTGTGACTCATTAACTTTGTAATCTAATCAGAGAATTTTTCTTATCTGGACCCTGGTGGGTCTTGCTTGTAATCCTGGAGGCTCAAATCTGAGAGCCATCATTCAAGCCAGCCTTGACTGAGAAGTCCGTAAGATTCTTATCTTCAATTAACCAGTAAAAAGCCTGAAGAGGGTCTGTGGCTCGAGTGATAAAGTACCAGCCTTGAGTGAAAAATTAAAGCCCAGGTCTCGAGTTCAAGCCCCAAGGCTAGTATAACACACACACACACACACACACACACACACACACACACACACACACACACACACACACACGCGTGCGCGCGCGCGCGCGCACACACGGAGAATTTCCCTTGTCAAGTGAGTGAGATTGAATTTTCATTTTTCATTTGTTTTGGTTGTTTTCATTTTTGTTTTATAATTCAGGCTAGCATCAAAATTGAAACTCTTTTCTCAGCCTCCTAAGTGCTCATATTACAGGTATGCCTCACTATGTTGAGCTGATTTTCTAGCCGTTAGTGTGTTATTAGGTATTTTTACATATACTCAAGGAAAAAAGTTTTGCATTTAAGATTATGCAATAGGTGGCAAGGAAAGGGAATCACAGAAACAGCAAGATAAGGGATGAACCAAAGTAACACTGATACTCACTTGACATTCTGTTGGATAGGAACATTACAACCTGGGGAAGAGGGGAATAGGAAGGGGTAAGTGGGTGATAATGAGGGATTGGGCATATCAGTGATTAAAAACAAATATTCTCATTGTCTTACTTAAGTAACTGTAACCCCTCTGCTTATTACCTTTTCAGTAAAATAAACCAAGGGAGAATCCATGGAATTTCTTAGAAAAATGCCCCATTTTTTGTGAGCCAGAGACTTAGGAAAGCTTTCTGAAAAAAAGAAAACAAATAAGCATATAGTTATCACTAGAAAAAGTATTTTCAAATAGTTAAGGAATAAGTCTGATATCTCAAGAGATGAACATTAGTGTGTACATAGTTGCATTTGGTATAATATCACCTTGTTTAGCCTTCTGTTATATAAAAGAAAATGTGTATGTCTGTATCTAACTTTTATTTATTTCCCTGGATAGGAGATCTGAAAAGTGCTTGGGGAATATGGATTTAAATGCTTAGTTGTGTTCTGAGTTTCATGTGTTATTCCCAGTGGTGATTTTAAGTTTCTAAAGGCCATGTTTTAGTATTTAGTTTTCTGATAGTTATTGCTTTAAAAACTGCAGATGGCTTATGTTGTAATTTTTACAAGGCACTTGTATTTTGCTTTGTGTTAATTATTTCAACTTTTTTTTTTCTTAAGGCAAATAAAAAACTGAAATTGGAAAATGGCAGCCTGGTGAGGGAGAATTTACGACTGAAGGCTGAAGTTGATAACAGATCACCCCAGAAGTATGTATTTTGCTCACAGAGCGATGTTTCGTATCTGGACTAGAGTAGATCATGTATTTGTGGTGTTTTGTTTTTTTCTTTTCACTCTTCTTATTTAAGCCAACACAATGTCTTGTCTCTAAAAGTCCACTGTGTGTTTTGTGTTACTGCTAAAAATCTTTCAGTTGAGGCTACTTTTGAAGACAAGATTTAATCTTACTCCTCTTCCTTCTCTATCAAGAGGATTGCTGTATGCCACCTCAAACAGGAGAACCTTCACTTGGCTTTACATCTAAGTGACAGATGTTCTGAAGGCTGGTGTATCAGAACTGCAGTGTTCTTATCTGGCCACTAGACTTAATTTCTTTCTCTTGGAAACTGACAAAGTGTCAATAAACGATGGAAATTTATTCTACCACAAAGAGGTGTTTGCTTATCATTTGGAAAGAAGGAAAAGTTGCCTCCAGTAAAAGGAATATGATATAAGGAAAGAAAGGGTAGATGTAAACCATAATTGCACAAAGCAAAGATTACTAACCAGTAGAGAAGGCATAGATTGTTGCTTTTCAGCAGTTCCTTCCCCTGTGCTCTCCACCCTCATTTTCACTTCATTTCAGATAATGTCCTACTTTGACCAATTAGTGAAATAAGCTTAGGAAGTGTTGCTGTTATGTGGTGGTGTGAGTCTCCGTTCCTATCATTTATTGGCAGCTCGCCTTGCCAGTCATAGTAGTGCTTGTCCATTAGCCATTTCCCACAGCAGGCTGAATGGAACTAAAGCTATTTTGCTTGTAGCTTTTATTTCTTGAAAAGTTGCCCACCATGCTTCAGAGTTAATGCCAATCACAAGGATGTATGTTTTTAAATAGCCATGCCTTCCATCAAGAACTTCATCTGAAGTTACCCAGCCTCTGTCTACTTGCAAATAAACATACCTGAATCTAATATAACTGCATGATTTTCCATGTTCACCTTCATGAGAAAGAATTTTCCCTTCATGAGAAGGGAACAGCTTCACTTAAAAAGTGATTTGAGCTGACCTGTTTTATTCCAGATCAATTTGCAATGCATTGAGGTATAAAATGCATTTCGTTTGATTTATAGCCTTGTTTACTCTGTATCACCAAACCCTAGTGGGATTTAAAGAGAAGCTGACCACAGCTGAAAATACCCAGATATGGTTCATTGGAGAGCACTTCTATTTGTACAGAAAAAAAATAGAAAATTTCTAGAATTTCAAAGTAAAGCCAGGCTGGTAGCTCACACCTGGAATCCTAGCAACTCAGGAGGCTGAGACCTGAGGATTGCAGTCTAAAGGCAGCCTGTGGACAGGAAAGTTTGTGAGACTTTATCTGCAATTAACTGCTAAAAAGCCAGAAGTGTAATTTTGGCTTACGTAATAGGGTACTAGCCTTGAACACAAAAGCTAAGGGATAGCACCTAGGCTCTGAGTTCAAGCCCCAGAACTGACATTTCCATACTTGGAACTTTAACTCTGGGGCCTTGCTCTCAAGAATGTGGACCATTTTCTCCCTCTACTACTTGAGTCTTGACTCCAGTCTGGCCTTTTCTGCTTATTAACTAGAGCTGGAATCTCCCATTTTTCTGTCTGGGCTGGCTTCAAGACAATATCCACTGAGTTGCAGTCTCCTGAGTGACTAGGATTACTGGTGTGATCCACTGGCACCTGACTTGAATTGAAATTTTTCTGCTCGGTCCTTGCTTTCCAATTCTTTTTTTACTATTTTACTATTTTTTACTATTTTAATATTATAGAACAAATTGTTTAAATCTTTTTCCTGAAACTGACCAAGGTTTTCCTAAACTGAAATCTAGACTCTACAAGCCAGTCTATACCTTCTTCCGTGTCATCTCATTCTCATTCTGCCAGCTCATGGCACTCTAGAGTTTGTTTCTCTCCTCCTCCCCCGCCCCCCCCCCCCACCCCTTATCCTGCCCCTCATTTTGTCTTCAGATAAATTACTAATGGAATCATGCTTCAGGGAAGCAGTTGAGTATTGATAGGAACAGAGGCTCTGAATCCACATTCCTTAGACTAAATACTAAATGATATTTCATTCTTCTGTATCTCAAGTTTTAGTCTTCTATGAAATGAAGCTTACAAGTTGTAATCGGAGTTAAATTTGAAACGAACATCTAACAGAGTTCAGAGTTAACCAATGTTATAGTATCGCAGTCTTTATAGCGCTCATCCCACTAAAATTGTATGTACATTTAATTGCTTGACCTGTTTGTTGTCCATTACCCTAGGTAAACTCTTAATCTCCACAGGAGTAAGAACTTGGCTGCTTGTCTTTTTTCCTTCCAAAACTCCAGTATCTGAGAGGTACCTGATAAATGTTTGTTGAATATGCAAATGAACAAGTAAACAATATTTGGTAAATTACTTAGCTTCTTAGTGTCATTATTTTCTTTATGTAAAATGTGAATAATATGTTACTGAAAGACTTATCAAAATAATCTGTTGTCCTTGGTAGAATCTCCAGTAGAAAAGAAGTTGAGGCGAGAGGAATGATCATATCCATTATCCTCACTCACCTCACAAAACACTATTTATCCTCTTTCCTTCTTCCTTTCCTTCCTAATGGCTATGCTATTTATCTAGTTACAAACCTTAGTCTTAGTTTCTCCAGCACTGCTTCTCACCTCATGCCATAGCTTGTTGGGTAGAATGTTTTTGTAAATCTACTTCTTTTAAATTCTCCTGTGATTGTTTTTTTTTCATTCCCACTAGTTTAGGCCTACATTATTCCTATAGTAACAACTTTCTGATTGCTTACCTTGTTTTCCTCCCCATGACAAACTCTTGAATTTCTGCTGTATTATTACCTGAATTCCTGAATAGAATATCCTCATCTCACTCCCCTGCTTAATATCTTTTAGTGTGTCCCTATTACCTCCATATTAAACTCACATTTTTGTAGTATGCAATGCTTTTAGCTATAGGATTTCAGCTTAACCCTCTGGCCTCTGCTGTGACTTCTCCTTCCCCCCCCCCCCCCCCAATATGCTGAATTTATCACTGGACCGACACTGCCTTATGCCATACTGTGTGTGTACCTTATCTTATTCATGCCTCTTCCTTACCTTCTCTGGCAATCTCTAGTGGCCTCTCTTTTTGTCTTCCTAATTAATTCTCATTCATTGTTTAAAATCAAACCCAGATGTCACTTTCATTGGTGAGGCATTTCATGATTTCCATAGACAGATAGTACGTGTAGTTATACCCATTGTCTGAATAATTTTGTTGTATACCTGTCAGTTCTATGATTGTCACATCCAGTTAGTCTTCTAGCTATTGACACTAGTATTTTTTAATGTTCATGTATATATATATTTATATACACACATAATACAGATATGCATATAGATGTGGTATGTGTGTATATATATGGATATGTGTGTGTGTGTGTGTATGAGTGTATGTGTAGTCCTCTGGACCCCTGCTAAGGAAAGGTATCCTTATACTAGAGTATTTTGTACTGCCACTTGAAAAGAACTAATCAGCGGGTTAAGATTTTGAGCTCCAGCCAGGCTCTGGTGGCTCACACTTGTAATCCTAGCTAGGAGACTTAAGACTTCTTCCTCTTCAGTGAGCTGGTCTGGCTGGCTTTGACTGTTGTCCCTTCTTGACCTATTCTGGCTTCTGTGTTTCTCTCAATTCTTCTGTGACACACTTGATGATTCCTGGTATTTGACCTCAGCCTGATCTGATGACTGATTCTACTATGCCCTTTGGTTTTCCCAGAAGGGGAATTTGTAGACTGTCAGGGGAGGTTGATGATACCCTGGGGCCAGACTGTGACAGCCCAGTGTGCTCAGGCTCTTTGGCTGCCTGCAGGGCCCAATTCTGGATATTCAGCTAATTGGTGGTAGACAGTTGCTGCAATTTTCTGTCACCTTGTCTTTATTGTTTTGATAAGGTATTATAGATGCTTATAATACATGCAACTTACTAAGCAACTTACTAAGCAACCTGACAGATTACTGACTAATAATAAATCACTCCATATGAATTATTATGCACATTTTGTTTGTTGTTATTTCCTGGTCCACCTGTCATTTCCTCTAGATTTCTTCATTCTTTTCCCAAAGCAACTGCTATTCTCACCTCTGTTGATAGGTTTGCCTCTAAGTACCCCTAGCAAATCTAGTCTCTTAAATGGAATGTCATTGTAATATTTCAGTAGCTCTTTTTCTCACAACTGCGTTTTCGTCTGATTCTAATTTCACTTCTAGCATTAACATTTTTCATTTCTGTGCTACACCTTCATCTTTGTTGGCCATTTCTGTTTCTTGCTTGTCTACTTTTTTAAATGTCTTTATTGTTTTGTCACTAGAAACCAGGAAGCAGCACAGCTAAAACACTTTGCTCTCTTTCTGTATGGCATAGTAGATGCACAGTGACCAATCACTGACTGACTATGAAAGAGGTAATCTATGTACTTTTGTATGGGCTGAAAAGCTAGATGTGGAAACTTCGCCTCATGAAGTTACTTATCGTTAATGTAATTAACTGGAATTTGAGCCAGTTTGTTGGGTTAACTGGTGTTTCTGCACATTGAATCTGTGTTGTAATCTTACTGCTTGCTTACCAGAGCAGCTAAGGATCCACAACTAGTTACAGCAGCATAGTACTAGAGCCTAGTTCTTTTGATACTTGGTTCTGGTATATATTCTTTTTTATAATTTATTTTCTTCTGACCCTCATCAGTCACATCTGGTTCTTTCAGTGTGATGAACTATGGAAAAAATGTTGTCTTGGGAATAGTGTACTTTTAGAGATGCTCTTTCATACTATAGTTGTAGGGCCTCAGATTTTATCTGTATGACTTTCATTTCTTGTCTCGCAGAGACTTAGTCTTGTACTTCCATAGCTGTTTGGACAAGGGGAGCCCTTATCTTTTTCTCTTATCCAGAATGTATATTTCTGTTTACATTTACAGAGTGAAAAACCCTTTAAGCTTCTGTGAGATTCTGGCAGGGTACACTTCCAGTAT